GGGGGGGGGGGGGGGGAGGGCCCTGCTCCCCCTCCCCGGCTCTACCCGCACCCCCTTTTGAAGAGGTCACTTTATCCAAACCCCCCCCCAGTCTCCACCACACCTGGGGACACGGCATGTCCCCGTTTCCCACCTGAGACCCAGTTGGGGACTGGGCTGGGGTTGTTTTTTGAGGGTTTTGGTTTTTGGCGGGGTGGGGGGAAGGTCAATTGTCGTTGTTTTTTTTTTAACTTTTTATTTTAAATGCTTTTTTTACTGGGGGACTGGAGGGGCGGGAGGGCAGGGGGGTGAGAAGCGTCTCTGTACAGATAAAAACTTGTCAGGTTTATATTGCTTCGTCTGTTTGAAGTGGCCGGGGGGGGGGGGCAGCCCCATCTGTACTGGAGAATCAGCCCCCCCATCTCCGAGGGGGGCCAGAAGGGACGGTGGGGCCACAAGGATGCACTCGGCAGCAGAGACAAGGGGGAACCCCCCTGCTGCCACCTCCACCGGTCCCCATCGCATCGCCTCCGGACCCCCAACTGTCACCCCAAACCCAGAGCATCCTGCACCCTCAGCTCATGGACCTCACGGATGGAGAGGACACACATCTGAGCCAGGCAGGTTTTTATTTACCCTCCTGTGGGCACCGGGACCCCAAAAAACGAAGGCTCCCACCTGCCCCACCATCGGGGAGAAGCCCTGGGGTCTGTCCCAGTCCCTCAGGGGTCCCTGGTCGGCACCGGGCAGGGAGGGCTCCACGAGGGCTGGGCAACATCACAGGGAGGATACAGAATATCTGTGTGGTTTTGTATGGAATAAGGAATGATTTACTGGAGCCCCAGCACCCAGAATTAAAGCATTTTTGCCAGCAGCTCCTGCCCTCCCCGGGGAAACAAAGCCAACGCTGGGGTCCTGCTGCACAAAAAACAACCTTCCTCTTTGCTTTTCCTGCCCCAAAACAGTCCCCGGTCTCCTATTTATCTCCCTCTTCTTCTCTTTTCAACCCTTTCAAAGAAAAAAAGAGCGAGCACTGGTTCTTTTTATTGAAGATATTTTTTAAACCAAAAAAAAATACCCCCAAAAATTTCTCTTGGCTTCATTTTTTGTTTGTTTCCTTCCTTCCTCGTGGCACGACCCAGTGGAAATTCATGTCAGTAAATCTAGTTTTGTTTGCCAAGCTGGAAGCACACTTCAAGAAAATTGTATTTTTGAGAGAGACCAGAGATCGTTCGTTTGCTGAGGAATGTCAGAATTGTTGTTATTTGGTTGTTATTGGCAGGTTTCCCCCCCCCTGCACCAGTTACAGCCCCGCAGCATCCCCACCCCGCGCTGGGGAGGTTTCGTTTCTGGGTGACTGGTTTGTTCTGGGAGGAAAGGAACCATCTCCTGGGGCCTCAGCTCAAGGCTGAGCATCCCTGAAGCCCTTCAGGAGTGGGCAGGGGGGCAGAGCCCCTCTGTGCACCCCAAAGGGCTGAGCCCAGGGAAGACCCCGCTCCCGTTGGATCATCCAGTCTCTTTTTTCCCCAATCCTAGCACTTTTTATGCACTTTGAGTGAATCTGTGCTTGAGAGACACCTCTTTATCCAGCAGCTTTCCCCTCACTTGGTGTTATCCCAGAAGTGGCACAGACAATGGTTTGAGGGGCTCCTCCTGCCTGGGACTCTCTGTACCTACTCCAGGATTGTTGGCAAACTCTACCCGAGCTCAGCTCCCTCCTCACACTGATAAAAGAGAAAGAAAAAAGGCACCACCAACTGGAAATTCACTGGCTCCCAGTCCCAGCACACGAGGAGGAGCTGCCTCAGCCAGTTTGGGGTCCAGATCCTGAAGGTTTTGTTTTTTTTCCAAGCGTGACTGCAAGGACACTGTCCCCTCCCAAGCCTGGCTTGAATCATCCCGCTCGCCACAAAACTCGTGAGGTTTAAGCGAATTGTCAGCATCTTTGAATCTTTTCCTTCTTGGGAGACTTGGCCTCACCCCTGTGAAGTGAAAGCCCTGAGCGAAGGATGCTGGTGGGATCCCTGCCTCCGGAGGAGCACGGTCCCTGCTGCTTTCATGTGGCTGTTTCAGCTCCTCTCCAACATCTCCGGGGCCTCTGCTGAGTGTCTGCTGCCTGGCAAGCTGAAAAGCCAGTGGAAATACTTGGGTTTTAGCTCCAGAAGAGGGGAGCGATGCCATAAATGTGACTGCAAATGTTCCTGCCCTGCAGAGTGCTTCTCCTGAGCAGCCTCAAACTCAGAGCCCTTTACTGGGGTCCCCCAAATGCTGCGTGACCCCAGTTAAAGGCCAGGAAAAGGAAAGAAGAGGGATTTTAAGTCTTTCTCTGTCCTCGCAATGGCTTCACCCTGAATTTCCCCATCAGGTTCCAGTTACCTCCCAGAAAGAGCCTGATGCTGCAGGTCCCCCTCACAGGGCTAAGCACACCTTCCTCTCCCTGCCCTGCTCCCCCAATCAACCTTATTAGGTTAATTATTTGTGGATGGTGTCACCCCGCTTTCAGCCTGTTACAACCCGGGTGGCACATTCTGATCTCGCAGCAGCCCGTGCTGGTGGCATTGAAAGGCCCAAGATGACAAGGTCCATGCAAAATCAAATCAGTGCTGGCAAGAAGGAAAACAGCATCTGATCTGTGCCCCAAAAAGCTGTGTTCCATCAAGAGGTTCCCTCAGCCAGGTGAGGAAGACCAGCAATGCTCACCCCAGGAATTGGCCCAGTGCATTAGATCTCAGGAGTTAAGTAGAAACAAGCCCCCATGCACTGAGGAGGTATCTACAAGCTGCTTCCCACTCTCTGGTGGTCCAGGCACTGTTCAGTCCTCATCACAGAACAGTTTGGGTTGGAAGGGACCTTAAAGATAGAATCATAGAATTGTCCAGGCCAGAAGGGACCTTCAAAGGTTATCTAGTCCAATCTCCCCACAGTCAGCAGGGACACCTCCCACCAGACCAGGTTGCTCAAAGCCCCATCCAGCCTGGCCTTGAACCCCTCCAGGGATGGGGCAGCCACAGCTTCCCTGGGCAACCTGGGCCAGGCTCTCACCACCCTCACAGCAAGCAAGTTCTTCCTAATATCTCATCTAAAACTCCCCTCTTTCAGTTTAAAACCCTTCCCCCTCATCCTATGGCTCCCCTCCCTGATGATGAGTCCCTCCTCATCTCTCCTGGAGCCCCTTTAGGGACTGGAAGGGGCTCTAAGGCCTCCCCGGAGCCTTCTCTTCTCCAGGCTGAACTCCCCCAACTCTCTCAGCCCCCCCTCCCATCAGAGGGGCTCCAGCCCTCCCAGCATCTCCGTGGCCTCCACTGGCCCCGCTCCAACAGCTCTGTGGACTCCTGAGCTGGACACAGGACTCCAGGTGGGGTCTCCATCCATCCCTCAAGCTCCCCGGCCGCTAAAAGCCAAGCACCCCATGTGCACAGAGTTCAAATAAAAGTCAGAAACTGACAAAAATGTTTAATATTAGTTTGGAAGAAAAAGTGAACCATACTTGCTTAGATGAGAAAAAAAGAACAAAACAAAACAAACGACTGAAGTGTGTTTAGTGAGCTCTCCTGCCAACCTGTCAGCCCACGGCTGGGGCTCTCCAGTGAAACCCAGGCAGAGGGGGAGAAGCCCCCCCCGCCCCCAGCTGCTGCCGGCTCGACGTGTGACAATGCCAACTCACTTGGGACACGGGACACAACTGCGGCGGGTGCTGGCGTATGGAGGCTGCTCTGAGCTGCGTTTGGCTGCCGTTCTCAGCTGTGGCACCTTAATCAGCAGAACTGCAAGAGAAGGGAGTTTAAACCCCAGTTAGAAGGTTTAGAAGTGCCAAGGGGAGTTGGGGGTCATGCGTGTGCCGCCTGGAAGGCAAGTTATCCGGGAGGGGAGTAGGGGGTGGTCTCGTTTCTGAAGCTGGTGAGGGCTCAGGGGGGGCTGCGGAGGCAGGGCTCAGCCCATGGAGCAGGGGAGCAAACGGAGCTCCCGTTGGAAACTCTTGGCTGTGACTCTTTGGCACTTGGTAGCGGAGCCGTTTCTGCTCAGCAGCAACCAGGAGATTTCTGCTCAGCCCCAAGCTCTGTGTGCAGCATAAAAAAATAAAAAAAGCTGTTTTAATGTCATCACCACCACCTCTCAGGGTGGGGTCAGAGGGAAAGCACTGCAGAGCCAGTCACGGCAGAAGAGATGATGTGAGGAGGGAGGCAGGGAACGCAAAAGAGACTTGTCTGCAGAGATGGGATGAACTCAGGAGCTCTTCCCTCTGTGCTGGGAGGACAAGTCAGTTGGCTAGAACCAGCCAGCGTTGGGCAAGCACCTCTGAGGGCAGCAGCTGAGGCTCTGCAGCCACCCTGCCACCCCTCAGTGCCAGCAATAGCCTTGGTGCGCTACCTTCCAGCGGTTCCCACACTCGTTGCACACGACGAAGGTGGTCATGGGCTCGTCGGAGCTGCGGGTCTGCACCTGGGGGGGGACAGGAGGGAAATGAGAGCCCAGCATCACACAGGACCCCTTGGCGGGGGATCACGGGGAGCTCCCTGTCCCTCCAGCCACCAGGGATTCATGGTGGGGGTGACACTGCCAGGAATCAACGAGACACCAAAGCTTGGGAGGGCAAGAGGAGCAAGGGATTCATGGTGGGGGTGACACTGCCAGAAATCAAGGAAACATCGAGGCTTGGGAGGGCAAGAGGAGCTTTCCCTGTAAAATGAGTCTGGTTTTACACACAGATAAACACCTCTATGTATGTGCATATATAAATATGACCCTCTCTAGCCTGACACTACCTGCAGCATGTTCTGGGGCAGCAGGTTCTCTTCCTCACCCCTTCTGCTGCCCACCGGAGGGCTCTGGAGGTGGACATACCCACAGCCAGTCCCTCATCCCCCAGGCAGAGATGGAGCTGGCGGCAGCAACACATGAAAAACCACTCAAATCCATTCTTTTACAGCCCCGTCCTACGTCCTGGCCTCAGGAACACACTCCGAGTTACCAGGTTCTGCACATTCCCAGTCTGTTTTGCATTTGAGCCATTAAGAGACTCCGATATTTAACCCAGATGTGACCGCTGCCTCTGACCGGCTCCTGCCAGAAACACATGCTTTGCTAGAAAAAATCAGATTTCCATGGCATTTGAATACCAGAAGGCAGATCTACGCTGAAAATACAGGCACTCCCTGAGCAAGTCAGACAGCAGAACTATGTCAAGGGGTAATTATGGTGATCTACATGTGTAATTACCCAATATGCAAGAGTCACAGTATTTGCATGATGCAAATTAAGTGTGTTTTGCAAGCACGCCGGATAGCTAAATCCTGTTATTCTCACACAGTATCACTGCCTGGCTTCGAACCCTTTCAAAAAGGCCAGTTCATCCACTTGGCACTTACAACCTCTCAGTCACCAAATAGTGATTTCACTGGAAAACTAATAAAAAAAATAGAGAAAACCTTCTGATATTTCTATTTAGAAGACACCATCACCACCCGCCCCAATTCCAGGCAGTCGGATCCCAGTCTGCTGCAGGTGGGGACAGAGCCCCAGCGCCGCTGTGGTGAGCGAGACAGCCCAGGCAGCGCTTCCAGTTGACTTACTGGGAGTGAGACCTCTTCCCAGAGCCAGCCTGTGGGATGTGAGGCTGCTGTGGAGCCAAAGGAAAACCCCTGCTCGGGCGCCTGGCTCCTGTCTGCCTTCGCACGTCACGGCCAGGCGCACCAAGGAGTTCTCACTCGCCGCTCACACACGCAGTTTGCACACACCCACTCAGTAGCAATTGCGTGGTCGCTGGTGCATTTTTGGGTATCTGCACATTCTGAAACACTGACTCACAGCAAAGGCACATTTATCTCCAGATGCCTGGCACAAACACGGGAACTGGTAACGCGCGAGGCTTCCAGCAGCTGTCCATTGAGAAGAAAAAAATCCCTTCTGCCGGCTCCCATCACTGCTGCGTTTATTCCTCATGTTTCACCTGTTTCGTGCTGTTTGATTTTAAATAAGTTGGGATTTGTCCAGCCCCAGCTTACCTAGTCTGAATTTGCACTTTTAATACCACCAACGTGCCTGCCTCGGTTTCTACAGCCTCTCTCCTCCACATCACCCACACCTTTTCTTGTCCCGATCCCCACATTCCCAGCACCTGCTTTCCATGTGCTGCTCCAAAGCTTCCTTGGTGCTGCACAACCCCTGCTCGTGTACAAACAGGCCATAAAAAAAAGTTACACAAGCTCCAAGGAAAGATGGGTATGAAATCAATGCTTTTTAGAGAACCTCAAGTGTACGAAAAGGTTCTCTCCACCAGTGGCAAACTCTGTGCTGTTACAGAGCAGAAAGAGCTTGTGACCACGATGGACCATCTCCTGTGGGGAATGTGGAAGCTGCAGGAGCAGGAAAACTAACCTGGGTGTAGGTGCAGTTCTTCTTCTTGCATTTCCCACAGGTGAAGAGGTCGGTCTGCGTCCCTCCTGTCTTGGCCATCTGATGCTCCCGGATTGCTTCTTTCGTCATGGCTTTTCTGATCTCCTTCAGCTCATTACTGGCCATTTCCTTTAAAAAAAAAGGTAATAAAAATCACATCTGTTCAGTTTTACCACCACACCCACTACACTGAAACAAGTCAACAGAGCAGGGTGGCCCAACAGAAGACAGAAAGCCTTTAATTCCTGGTTTCTGGTTCATACCTAGGCCCCCCCTGTGATGATCTGAAGGCCCAACAGACCCTCCACATGGCAAACCCCATTGCTAACTCACTCCCCGTGCCCTCTGCTAAGAAATCTGCAACCCTGGCAGCAGACCAGCCCCTTGCTTCAAGCTGAACCACGGGATACATCCCCTGGGAGAAGCAAACCCTGCTCCTCAGGCTTCCTCACCTCCGAGGTCATCACCGCGATCTGCTCTGGGGTAATCGCCCCGCACAGCACGTTCTTTTTCAGCTCAGGGTTTTTGGAGTCCTTCAGATTGGAGATGCGGCTCCTCACTCGGTTTTTGTACTTCATGTCGGTGTTCTTGACATCTTGGTAAATGCGTACAGGGCAGTTAAGGAGTCTGCCATCAACCCAGAGGCCTCCAAGCACTTCCTACACACCTCATGAAGAATGGGGAGCGTCACCCACTGCCAGGACACAGTTGAGGGTGCTGGGACCCAAAAGCAGCATCAGCTCTGGGAGGTTCACACTGGACTCGAGAGCAGGCTCATACAGAGTCCAGCAGCTTTCAGTTCTGGCTTTTTCACTCTGCTGGAAATAATCTCTACTTTCAGCTATGCTCAGGTTCTTCAACCTGCTCTTTCTCTCAAGAAGGTGGCCACAAAACCCTCCACTACAAGAGATCAGCTGCATCTCCAGCTCCCAAATCAAGCAAACCCCTGGCTTATCTCAAATGGACACAATCCCCATTGCTCCGTCCTTCCCACAGCTCTTGCCTTTACCAGCACACTCTCCTCAAAGGGGGACACAGGGAAGCTGCACAAATTTGGAAGCAGAGCTGAAAACAGGAAATAGCATTTGGATGGGACATACAATCTGGGAATTACAGCCCATTATGGCATGAACAAGAAAGAAATAATTATGTACCACACCAGCGAGGGCTGTGTCCTGAGCTCCCAACACCCCACCAGTGGTTCCTTCACAACCCACAAGCTGGAACCAGACCCAGAACCCCAAGAAGCGGAGTTGCAGCAGAACATTTATGAAATGAAAGACCATTTTTTCCTCCGAGCACATGAATTTCGTGGCCTGAGCTGGAACCAGACCCAGAACCCCAAGAAGCAGAGTTGTAGCAGAACATTTACGAAATGAAAGACCATTTTTTCCTCTGAGCACATGAATTTCATGACCTGGAGGCCTGCGGGCCCTTGAGGAAGTCCTGTAGGGTAAGGATATATTCTTCAATCTGGGCTGCTATGTGCTCACAGTCGGCGCCAACGGAAATATAGTCGTCTGTAAGACAGGAGAAACAGGAGGTCAACAGCTTCCAACCAGGCAAGGGGTCCCCAGGCTTGGTATTTCTGAGATACAAATCCAGATAGTTTGCTATTTTGATTTACATGCTCTTTCCATCAAATGGCATCTTGGCCTTTGCTCTAGCTCTCCCCTGACCCCTTCAAAAGGGCAGTGATGAAAATAGACCAGTCCCACCAGTCTGTGCCCTCTGCCTCTCTAGGAGATGGACTGCACTAGACAAAGTTGCCATGAACCTGGCCCCCAAAACACACAGTTTTTCTATATATTCTAGGTATAGTTGAAATTAAACATATATGGGCAGGAACTGAGTCTCAAATATCAGTGTCAATGAGAAGTAGCTCGACTCAGACCAACAATCTGGCAGGGCCCAACATCGTGCAGCACCAATTAAAGCTTCATTTCTCTTTCCAGCTCAAGACTCTGCCCCTCTCCTTTCACACGCTGCTTCTTGCCAATTAAACAGCATCATTTACAACACAATAACCAGTACGAGTTTGGACGCTGGGAATGGCAACCACCACCACGAAGTAGGGAACAGGGATAAGCTCATAGAAAGACTCGAGGGGACTGTTTCCCAGATTTCATCTGGAAAGGCTTTTTCTACGAGTTATAAAAGATATTTAATGCAGCATATATGTATATAAACACACGCATGCGCACAGTAAGGCTAGAATTAAAGACTCTGTGAACTTCTCCATCTGCTGTCTACATTCCTTGGCTCCAAATTAATAAAACTCTGCAGTGCTTCGGTCCTAATTTTCCAAAGGGATCTGCAATTTGGACAGAGGAAGCATGTGCTCAGCTTCAGGTGTTTAAAATCTGCCTTTCAGAGATGCTGAGCACCTACAGTCACCTCTCATTTGAGATGGCACAGTCTGAGTGCAAGAGAGACCTAATTCCACCCCAAATCCAGAGGACCACAGGATTTAAGGGGCTCCGGTCCGCAAAGGCAGGGGAGCCAAGGACCAGATGGTGATTGGCATAAGCCCCATTAGCAACAAATTCCACATATTGAGTTACAGCTTCATTTTTTGCCCCGAGGGTAAGCAGAGACAATAACAGGGTTTCCCCTCCCACTCACCATCAGCCTGCAGGGCTGTTGTCAGCATCTCCCTGCATTTGTTGCGGACAGCATCGCAGGTGACGGGCGCCGGAGGGAAGGTGGTGATTTTGGGAGTGGTGGGAGTCTTCGGAGGCTCCTGCCTTTTGTTGGAGCTAAAAAGAGAAATTTCACCCCTTAGAATGTCTCAGTGGGGGGTCAGTGAGAGCAGAGGAGGGATCAGCAGGTGTGTGGCCAAGCATCCCATAACACAAAACCAGCCAGAGGAACACACTGCAGAGACATGCCCTGAGTCAGCGTATAGAGCAATAGAGCAACCAACACCATCAACCCAGACACGAGCTCTCCTCTGGGCTCTGCTGGCTGAAAACAGAGGGTTAATCCATGAAGCAGGTGAGGCAGCCACTTCTGTTATTGAACACGTATCACAACCAGTGAAATTGGGCATTAAGTGAACTTGGGCATTAAGTGAAAGTATTACAAAGCTGTTGGACACCATCAGTAACTCAAATATATTCAGGACTTCCCCAAACCTCTGTCTGGTACCAAAATGGGTATAGAAAAACATAGAGAACATGGAGAACATGGAACTTTATTCCCCTCTCTCTTCCCAGGATGCAAAGTCCAGAAGTGCTCTCAGCAGAAAGGGAGCAGCAGCCACCACCAAGGTTAATCTCAGCAGGTGCTGGAGCTGGTTTTTCATTTCTCATCCTTTATTACCAAGATGTCAGCAGCAGGAAAGAGAACAAAAAAGCACTCTAGCTCTCTGTAGCTGACAAGGCATGCAGCATGCTGCCTTCTGGGGCAGGAATCAGAGGAGCCTACACCAGCCCCTTCAAAAGAAGGGGCTGCTGTGCTAAGGAGAAGAAAGAAAATGGCTGAAGAAGCTCTGATATAAAAAAAAAAAAAAACCAACAACAAAGCATAACACCTAAGAGGATCTTCCTTTTTCCTGTAATCTGTACAAGACTCTGATTACTCATCTCAGATCACCCCTGCACAGCCACACACAGCTCACACAGGTGCCAGGCTGCCAAAGGACTAATAAATACTGCTTTACTCACAAAAATAACTTCATTTCCACCTGCAATCAATCACAGACACAAGCAAGGGAATGCAAGCACCTGCCTCAGCCAGGTTATCTGCAAGGGGAGCTGCTGGAGAGCCCCGAGGTGAAGAATCACACACTGAGAGGTTTGTGTGCCCGAGGAGGAACCTCACCCAGCACCCACGGCGGTGAGACATCCTGCCCATAAAGCCTAACATCTGCCCACAGAGTCAGTTAGCCCTGCAAACACTGCTGGTAAAAGATTTGGGCTATTATGATTCCCAGATGATTTTATAGAGCTTTCTCCCCCCCCTTAAATCTAGGCAGCAGAACAGCAAATTTTTCAGCAGAGATTGCTCTGACTTTGGTGTTTGGGCCATAAAATGTACTGTATTTATGGGCAATGGCTGGTAACATGAATGCAGTAAGAACAAAGGGGAAAAAAAAAACCAAACCCTGATATTTCACCCAAGCCCATACTGGCTACATCTCTAAGATAAAGTGGATTGACAATTACTTTTAAGCTGGGTCACTACTGCCAGTTCTTTGCCATCAAGAATAAATGTTATGAAAAGGCACTTCCACTACACGGTCCTGGAAGGGATTTGTCAGCCCAGAAAAACAGGGCTGAGCTGGAAACCTTCCAAATCCACCACTGTACAAATGGAGCCAGGCAACTGCAGGGACTGGTCCTGGGAGTCCCTGATGCTAAGTTCAAACCCAGCCTCTTCAGTGCCTCAAGGTCTGTAGATCATCATTAGGGCTACTGGATTTCCACAGTTCAAAACCTTACCAGGCCCTTTTTAAAAGCATCCACCAGCACATCTTCAAAATTGTTCAGCACAAACCGTAGAAGAATTATTTCTTGCTCAGATGAAAGAGAGAGATTACATTGTGAGCTTTCTTTGTGTTTCTCTTTAAACACTTTTTACCAGCTCGTTTTCCTGGTCAGCACTGCAGGAGATTATTAAGGAACAGATTTGTGCTCAAACAGCTCAAAACATTCAGTAGGATTCACACTGTACGTACTACCAAAAAAATGAAACAACTTAGCTCACAAATAATCAATAAGATGACTTTCTCCCATCCGGGATGTACAAATCACCATCAGGTACTTCTGTGCTTAAAAAGCTACACACAGATCCCAGGCAGCAACACGGGGGTGTTACACAGCAAAACACATACAACTCAGGAATAACTCATCTTAAAAAACCACCACAGCTGATCTTGCATACAACAGTTTGGAAAAATGAGCCTTCCCAAAGGATAAAGGCAAAAAGCCTAGAAAACGTACCTACAACAGAAGGAAAGGCTGAAGGAATGGGAGCAGTTTGCAGCAGGGAAGACCTAGAGGAGATAATTTCTGAAATAATGGAAAGCTTGTTACAAAGGACAGTAGGAAAAAGCCTCCACAATTCCTAAAGGACAACAGCATGAAGAAATGGTCTGAGCAAGACAGGTTTTGATTGAGAGCAAGTTCCAAATCATCAAGGAAGATTCTGCCAAGGGCAGCTGTGGAAGTGTCTTACCCTTAAGTTTTTTAGGGTTTTCAAAGACGAGCTTGGAGAAAGTCAGGGAGAGTTTGGGCTGTCCAGGGAAAGGGCAGCAGGAGAAGCTTCCCTCAAAGCTCTTCCAGCTTTCACTTTTGTCTCACTTTTCAAGCAACAGTGAGCAAACCTGAGCAAACCACTGCACGTGAACCCTCAACGCTGACCTTCACCACATTCAATACTTAACATCAGGTCTTCAAACAGCTCATTCTCACAGGTCATGCTTGATTTTCAGGAAGTTTCTACCTATAAATGCTATTGACTTAAATACTTAGGATGTTTATTCCCCAGAGGTAAAAGAAAAGCTAGGCAAGATGCATGGTTATCCCACTTCTGTTAGCTGATGAGTAAAGACATATTTGCCCACATACACACACATCAGACATGCCCTGTGATGACAACTGATCAGTCACAAATTAGATAAAACAGACTTCTCAGCCATTCCTAACTGTACAGTAAGTTATTTATTAAGCTTTAGAAATTATTTTATAATTAGAAGAGCTGGGAAATAGACCTCAAACACACCTAGAAGGCTTATTTCAGGAAATCCTTGTGGTTCACACTGTTCCTGTTCAACAGGAGAAAGAGGCTGTAAATCTATCCTGGCATCAAAAATTCATACATAAAACCAGCTACGCTGGAACGAAATGGTGGCAAAGCAAGAGCCAGGGACTGCAGCAGGACTCGGGGCTGCTCTGGGAGAAAACCCCACGCAAGAGCTGAATTCAGGCCACGGATCCAAAACCCTCCTAATAAAGACAGTTTAGAGTATCCTGGAAAAGAAAAAGCTCGTGCTGCCAGAGACGGAGAAACATTAGACACAGCCCATTAAAATGTACTACACTAATGGTCTAAAATACTACAGCAGGGCAGAATATGCTTTGGATTACAGCAAGGCAGCCTTAACTGCTCAGGTGCCAGCTCCACACTGGCTGGCGCAGAGCCTCCAGGTCTCACAGTGCTCCCTCTCTGCTCTCTACAGAGGGATTTCTTACATCTGCCTTCCAGAAAGCAAGGCGTTTCAGGCCAAGAGCTATTCAAGTATTTTTCCTTGACAAAAAGAGGGAGGTCTAGCCAAAATCTATCAGACTAAGTGGCTGAAGTATCTGAATACGAGCTGAGCTCTTTGGTGTCTTGAGAGCGGCCTCATCTGAACCAGCAAGCACACACCGAGCAACTGGTCTGACTCCCTTCATCACAGTCTGTGTGCAAAGAACAAAGACTTTTTGCTGCTAATAAATTATATTTTTGTCAAGGCAGATTAGTATGACTTTGCAGCACTGGAGAATAACCGTTCCTGGCTCTGTAAAGAGAGCCTGGCTCAACAGCTTGACACCAGGAGCCAACCCATTCTGCCTGCCTGGGCTGAGCTAACCTGTTATCTGTGTGCCCTGTACAACCACAGGGATGCTTTGCCTTTCAGAAGATGGAGGCTGAATAATACAGAAAGCATCAAGGGAGAAAAAAACCCAACCCTGCAGTAGCTGCAGCACATCCTCAAGACACAGGGGAGGCTCAGCAGCACAAGACAAAAAGCTCCACTCCACCTACCCCACGATAACTGTCTGAGAGCAAGGGGACAGCGGGGGTTTGCCTCTCTACCTACAGCCAGGATCCTCCTCCCAGTGAAATCACTGCAAGCCTCAACCTTCAAACCAGATGCCCCAGCAGAACCAGCCAGTTTGGCTCGTGAAGTATTCACTGCCACTGTGCCCAGGGAATGTCTCACACTTCCTTCCCTCCAGGCTCCGCATTTCCCAAGGTCAATTTTCCAAAAGTTAAATCAGAAGCTTCCCCTTTTTCTTTGAATGACAATACTACTGTCTAAGTTAGTCACATGTGTCATCTTTCCCCATCAGGAACAGCCACTACGTCTTTCCACACAGGCTTCTGCCCTATTACCCTGGAGGGAAATCATTCAATCACAGAATGGTTAGAGTTGGAAGGGACCTTAAAGATGATCCAGTTCCAACCCCCTGCCCTGGACAGGGACACCTCCCGCTAGATCAGGTTGCTCAAAGCCCCATCCAACCTGGCCTTGAACCCCTCCAGGAAAGGAAAGCTGCCTCCCCCCCCCCCAATAAGGGCACACACAAAGGCTCATGCCCATGACTGAGTTTAAGGTTGCATTACCTTTGGTCTCTTGAGTTACTGGTCTCCTTTGAGGAAGATGTTGGCAAAGACAGGCTTTTCTTTTTCTCCTCACTTTTTTCCTCAGAAGCATCTATATTCAAAAAGAAAAGAAATGGATGCTAAAGGGTTTGGGACTGGTCTTTATGCTACAACCTAATCAATGTCTTATGACTCCACAGTGTTGGCCTAAGGCAAGTTATTATTCTCCAAAAAGGCGAGTTATTATTCTCCAAAAAAAATCAGGAAAAAAAACACCTTTATGGCCTCCCATGTTTTCCAACAGACCTTTTGCTGGCCTCTAAGTAGGAAGTAATTCAAACAAAAGCTTTCCTCACCAAACTAAAGAGAAATCACCTTCCCTGCCTGGGAGATAAACTTCCTCACAAAACTTGTCTCATCACAAAAGCTTCTTTCATAGTGCAGGTTGGATCAAGTTCTCTAAAGCACCACTAAAAGCAGCATTTGCAGCCAACAGCACCGCAAGGGCCAGTACGGGCTAGTCCTTCTGGGAACACAACTTCTAGTGTTTCCCAAGTGCTGTTGGAAGCCAACAGCACAGCCCTGGAGAGGACTTTCATCACTCTGTAAAACAAGTCTGACCCAGAGATAAACTGTCTCAGCCAATACACATTCCCCCTAAGGTGGAAGTGACAGTCTCAGCCAGGACAGGAAAACACTCTTCTAACACCCATTTAGCCCATCAATAAACACCAAGCCCTGGGGTGCAGACTAGAGCCAGCCACACATTTCACTTTGCCTCAAACACAACCTTGATTTCGTTCTTTTTACACACGGCTGCCCAGAAGGTCTGTTTAAAAACAATAAAGAGTGTTTGAATTCCACATTGGGGTATTTTGCCACTGGGAAACACACAGTCTTGCTCGAGGGACACAGGCAGAGCTGCCCTTCCGATCTCAGCACTGCAGAAGCCTCATTCTTTTATCACAAAGCTAACCCCTAAGACCATATTTGTCATCCCTCCATCTGCAATTTGACATTAGTTTGTGCTATATCAGCATTAAGATTCCTCAGACAGAATTACAAGCTTCTGCTTCTCGGCGTTCATCACCATGGAAGTCTTCCCAGCAGGAAACACTCCATGTAAATGCATCTACAAGGTGTTAAACTAAGGTCCTTCTCCAGCTCATCACCCAAAACACATTCCAGCATTTCTCTTTCCAAGCCGTTGCACAAGGCTGACAGCACACGCTCTATTAATGTCACAGAGCACAGGGCAGGGAGGAGGGTTCAGGGTGCAGATACTGTTTCTGCAAATAACATCCCTAATTGTTATATGGACGGGTACACGTTCAGAATAGTCCTGAAGCTTTTTCTTCTTATAGTCCTTGAAGCTTTCCTGCTTTTTCGAGGATGAGCTCAATAAACAGGAGCTAAATCTAGCAGAACGCATGGCAGGAGACAAAACTTGAAGGATAGAGGGTGCAATTGTAAAGGCTGATTTGCTAGAATGTTCTATTCAGATCAAGAAATAAGCTCTACTGAGAAACCCAGCCTCCCGCTGGAACCAGCTCCTTCACAAGCTGAATTTGACAGGAACATGCTGATTTTTCTTACCTAGAAGTTTTTTCCAAGATTTGATGAGGGATTTGGCAAGCGCTATCACTTCTTCATCTGTGCTCTGCTTTCTCAGTGCGTTTACTGACATCCCGATGCGGGTGGACTGCAAGTGAACATCCACATGAATCATTCCAGAACAGAATTGTTAGTTGTTACTAAATGCAAATCAGAAATAAGCACGATGAAGTCAAAGAAATGATCAAAATATGAAGTATTCAAGGACTTCCAGAATGATTATCTCCTTATAACTCTGGAAAAGCGAGGTGACACTCCAGCTTTCTCAGAGTGATCAGAAGCTCAACATCCCATCACCCAGAAATGCCTTCTCTACACACCTATAACTGACATTGAAGCTTGGAGCGAAAAAATCCAAGATGCTTATCTCCCAGTTGTAATTCTGTTCACACTTCCCTGTCCTCCTGAATATCATCATGACAAAGACTTAAAGAACTTCTCCCACGACTGCCCTTTGTCTTTGCTACATTAATCTGGACTCTCCTCTTTTTGAAGCCTAAGAAAGGATTTGAGCAGTGACTCAACATTCACCTCATCAGCTGTGCACAAATTTCAGGCAACCCATGGTGGCCCAGAGCTATTTAATGGCCCAGCCAAAACCCATGTTCAGCACTATTTTCTGGATTTAAAGTTTATTCTGATGCTTTGAGTGAGGCAAGAAGCAAGAGGAAAACTATGAAGTTTATTTAAACAACATTTTGAACTCATCCAGATGCAGACTTCAGCTTTTCATCCTCAGCGTGCAACTCACCTGCAGCAAGTCCAAAGTCATGGGCATACTTTTCAGTTCTTTCAGTAAATCCATTGCACCGTCCTGGATAGGAAAAAAAATGAACAGAATGAATGTCTCAGCTTTTAGTAAAGAAATGCAACAGCTTGGGAATAAATTCAGAAAATTGAATTTAAAGGGAAAAGTGTCCCTAAAGTGTCAGAAAGATGACTGCTGGGATTGCTGTTACAGAGTAGACTCCACGGTCTGGAGGCACCTGAGCTATTGGAATAGGTGAAACAGAAGAGCACTGGAGCACCACAGATCTTTGCTGGTGTATGGCACAACTGCAGCATTAGCTTATTATCCTTACCTGGGAAGCTTAACATTTTTAACACCTGAAAAAAAACACTCTGAATCACAACTGTCCCCCCAGCACACACTTGGGGAGTAATCCTACTATTAAACTCATTGTTTTAGGGGACTCTGATTAATTATATCAGCTCACAAGAATAGATTTAACATAGTTGCAAGAACTTCAGGCACCCACCTAAAGCTCAAAATCACTGTCCAGAGCCAAAGCTAAAAGTATCCTCTTTCTACAGCCTGAAACTTACTGTAGGTGTTTCCAGCTTCCACATGAATACCCAACTCTGCTCAGGACAAGAGCTGAGACCAGGAGCAAAGCCATCAAGCAGTGACACTGAAGAGCTGTTCACCCGAAATGCATTATGTGGAGTTTCTTTGCATCAGCTCTTCAACCCAGAACCAGAAAAAAAAAATCTGAGTAGGCACTCTGTAATACCTAGAATTGGTAGTCACTCAAAGAAACAACAAGACAGAAGCACTAGTGTCCCCCCAGCAGTGCTCAGTGGATCACAGCCTGGAGTACGTCCGTCTCCATTCAGCTGGCTCTTTCCTCCCATCCCCCTTCTATCAAACAAGGCCTTCCAGTGTTCACATTTAACAGCTCATTTAAAACACCAACCACTCCAAGCCATTTGCAGCACAAGAACCCACAGATTGTGGAGCAGCAAAGCAGCCTGCACCGACAGACCCCGTCCTCCCATTTCCGAGTCATCACAGGACACAACCCAGCTGCTGCCCTACAGACCAGATGCTGAGAAAGCCAAATCAAAGCCAAATCAAAGCTTTCAGCGCACACACAGGCAACTCACACCAGTATAAACCAAGCATTACCATACCCAGAACGAGCGACTTCCCACTCAGGCAGTTTCACACCTTTCTGCTCCTCCAACAGCCAAAGGGACTCCGTTAAATCCAGCCCTTAAGATACAAAACGACCATGTGATTCCCATCTCCATTATCAGACATGGAGACACTGGGCACAATGGCAGAAAAGGGGGATCTGCCAAAAAATCTAGAGCAACAAACAGGTACTCCAGGCAACCATCCTGCAGGAAGAGGTCACAAATTAGCTAATATACAAGAAACACACCACGGTTCAGTACCACACAAAATGCCAACCAAGAGGAAAGATTTCATACCGCTCAGTTAAGAAGCTGCCTCTTTCTCAACGAAGCTGGGAAACAAATTCTGCAAAGTTGCTCCTTTCCTATGTCAACAATGGTGCTGAAAAGAACCTGCCATCAACGGGAACAGGCATCACAGGCTGTGGTTTAGCCCTGACACACTTTCCTGGGCTGTCACAACAGCTACACAAGTGCCAGCGCTCACCCCTACCCACACCTGGCAGAGCCAGTCCAGCAGCCAAAAGTTCAGGTGACAATCACACCCGGCACCCCACCACCCAAATACCACACTCCCCAAAGACCCTTCCCCTCCTCACCCATCACTCCCCACATCCTCCCTGGCCCCAAAAAACCCTCTCCCCCACCCTGAACACAGCCCACCTCTGGCACAAACCCTTGTCACCCAGCTTGCTGCCTTGGCACTTGTGTGACGCTGTTTGTACTCGTACAAACACCAACTGACATACCCCATGAGGCAGGGAAATACCTGCTACTGTCACCCCAACTGCCACACGGGTTACAGCCCACCCTGTGGGACCCCCAGGGTGCAGAGAGCAGCAAGACCAGCCCTCCACACTCCAATGGAGAGCGAGAAGAAGCGGTGCTTGCACAGGATGGGGATGCAGGAGATAAAACCAGCAGCATTTAGGGCTTCTCTGAAGGCAAAACAGAGCCCCAGGTGGGGGGGGGGGGGGGGGGGGGAAGGCTTTTTCTCCACCACCATAACGGCTGCGTAGAGCGGGAGGGCCCCAAAATGGGAGCTGGGGAGGGCCCCCCTCCCCGCGGAAGGGGGAGGATCCCTCACAACGGGCACTGAAGGAGGAACGCGGTGGGGGGGATCCTACATCCCGGCAGCGAGGAGGGGGACCCCGCGGAGATGGAGGCCCCGGCTGCCCAGACCGGGAACGGGGGAGCCCCCCCCCCGGTCCCCCAGCCCAACCGGCCAGCGGGAGCCCTGCCACTCACCGCGCTCTTCTTGGCCACCATCTTGTCCAGCCGCCTGGCGATGCGGACGATCTCCTCCTCCCCGCCCATCGCGCCGCTCCCCGCGGCGGCCGGTCCCGGGGAGGGACGGGGGGGGCTGGCGGTCGCTTCC